AAAAAGAGTAGCCTAACGGCGCTGCCCGGGCAAAAATCTGAAGTTAAAAATCTACCCAAAGTATTTCAGGATCCTCGCCAGTGCTACAGAGCCTGTGCACTGTGCTGAGCTTCTTCGGACTCAGACTTGAGTTAGAAGAAGAATGGAGCACTTATGGGTTACTATCTGTGTGCCATGATGTTGATCCGTTGTTGAAAACCTTGAAACCTTCTGTCTAAATATCTAATTTCATACATAACTACCTCAGCGTTTACAACTATACTTATAATAATAATAATAATAATAATAATAATAATAATAATAATAATAATAATAATAATAATAATAATAATAATAATAAAAAGAAAAAGCAAAAGAAGAAGAAGAAGCAGAAGCAGAAGAAGAAGAAGAAGAAGAAGAAGAAGAAGAAGAAGAAGAAGAAGAAGAAGAAGAAGAAGGAGAAGAAGAAGAAGAGAAGAAGAAGAAGAAGAAGAAGAAGAAGAAGAAGAAGAAGAGAAGAAGAAGAAGAAGAAGAAGAAGAAGAAGAAGAAGAAGAAGAAGAAGAAGAAGAAGAAGAAGATGCCAAACAAAAATCAGAAGAAGAAGAAGAAGCAGTAGTAGTAATTGCAGCAGCAGCAGTTTTAGTAGTAGTTTAAGTAGTAGAAGAAGAAGAATAGGAGGAGGAGAAAACCGAGAAGAAAAAAAGAAATAAAAAAGATGAAGACCAAGAAGAAGAAGAAGAAGAAGAAGAAGAAGAAGAAGATGAAAAAGAGAAGAAGAAGAAGAAGAAGAAGAAGAAGAAGAAGAAGAAGAAGAAGAAGAAGAAGAAGAAGAAGAAGAAGAAGAAGAAGAAGAAGAAGAAGAAGAAGAAGAAGAAGAAGAAGAAGAAGAAAAAAAAAAAGAAGAAGAAGAAGGAAGAAGAGAAGAAGAAGAAGAAGAAGAAGAAGAAGAAGAAGAAGAAGAAGAAGAAGAAGAAGAAGAAGAAGAAGAAGAAGAAGAAGAAGAAGAAGAAGAAGAAGAAAAAGAAGAAGAGGAAGTAGGAGGAGAAGAAGAAGAAGAAGAAGAAGAAGAAGAAGAAGAAGAAGAAGAAGAAGAAGAAGAAGAAGAGGAAGAGGAAGTAGGAGAAGAAGAAGAAGAAGAAGAAGAAGAAGAAGAAGAAGAAGAAGAAGAAGAAGCAGCAGCAGCAGCAGGAGAAGAAGAAGAGGACGAAGAAAAAAGAAGAAGAAGAAGAAGGAGGACATGATCGACCTTATTGCACCCCACCCACTTCCATGTAGCTCAAGCGACGATCCCCAGTGATCTCCGTTTAAAACTTCACTTGTGAACTAAACGACACATCTTTGAAAGGAACCCACGACTTTCAGAGCGCAAAGCAATCAATCGGCTTGACCACTGACGAAGCGCCCCCCCCCCCCTCTCAAATAGGAAGAAGAAAACAAAGAAGAAGAAAAGAAGAATAACAACCCCTGTTCTCTAAGGCAAATACCCTATCCACTACACCAACTCAGAACCATGGGACAAATTGTTTACCTAACTGATAACAAGATCACCGCAACCACGGACAAGTTTACGATTCCACAGTTCTGCTGTTATCACAAACTCCTACCACCCACCGTCCGACAAACACTAACAGAAAGTGATGAAAACCCCACTGCAGTAACCATCAAATAAATTCACCGCTTCCGTTTGTGGCGATTCCCTCAGATGAAACGTCCCACGACCCAACAGCCGCTCATACGCTCGCTGGCCCGTTAGCAGTGCACGAGAAGAACAGCAGAAGTCGCCCAGCGGCGGGACAATATGAGAAGATGGTTGATGCCATGAGTTGATGGATATTTTCGTTGCGGATAAGGATGGTTCCGACTTTTGAGAAGTGTTTTTGATTTGGTTTGTGTCGTCGGCGACTTTCTGAAATGATTTATTGGACGTTCTCGAGTGATCCTTTTTAAAATTGCTGTTATGAAATAGGAACCGTTAGTTCATGCTCTTTACAACAGATTCACATTTTGAAACTAATTTTGTTTACAATAATAGTCAGTAAATATCCCTTTTCACGCATTTAGGCGCATTGGGCATATGGGAAGAGCACCCATATTTTTACAGACCAAACGGCACTAGGTGGATAATGTGGTCAGCATTACGCCGGCCGTCTTTACTTCCCCAGGAGGTTGCGTTAAAATAGTCATAATAATAATATAACAATAATAATACAATTGTCAGTACATCATCATTATTGTCTTGTTATGCAATTATATATCACATAGGGGGGGGGGGGTGGGGGTGGCTGTGTGGTCTCGAGGCATGGTGTCCGCCTTGAGTGCTAGAGGTTCTGGGTTCAATCCCCGGTAAGGGCTGGCATTTTTTCACGTGGAATTTGACTTCTAGTAATTCCCCCTGGTCTGGGAAGCCCGTGTGTATTGTTCCGCACGTAAAACAATCCATTGACTGTGCTGCAGAGCCTGTGCACTGTGCGGAGCTTTTTCGGACTCAGACTTGAGTTAGAAAAAAAAAAAAAAACCGAGCACTTGTGGGTTACTACCAGTTTGCCATGATATTAATCCATTGTTCAAAACCTCCAATTCCTCAAACCTCAAAACCTCAAACCCTTAAACCTCAAAACTTCTAAACCTCAAATCTCAAAACCTCAGAACCTCAAAAAACATATCAAACAGCGATAGCAGTTTGTTCCTCTATTCCTATCCTGTGCAATCAAATCAACTCATGGATGGAATTCAGTCCAGCAGCTTTGGCCTCTCTCACCACCGTTCGTCTTAGGGTTTCTTTTGAGCGTCCTCGCCTCCTTAATCCCTTTATTTCCCATGTTAATACCTATTTGGAGATTCTCTGCCGATTTCCTCTCCGAATGTGTCAAATGTAGCGTCACCTTCTTTGTTTTAAATCCGTTGTTACCACTGACTGCCCACTTATTTCGATACTCTTCTTAAATTCCTCCCATTTGATGTTCATATTTTTCCTCAGGTATGTTTTTTTAAATAATAATAATAATAATAATAATAATAATAATAATAGTAATAATAATAATAATAACAACAGCAACAGTCGGCTCTGTGGCTAAGTCGATGCGAACGCTTCGGGAGGCCGGGTTCGATCCCAACTGCTGGCCATGTGCCTTGCGTTGGTTTCGACAGTAGTATCAAGAAAGCCGACCGTTCAGAAAAGCAATGGCAAACTACTGGACGTAAATTTGCCTAGAAAAACCAGACAACAGCCAGGGGCTGTCCGGGTTGTTTCTGCAACGTCCTGTAAAGGATACGCAACTAACCTTAATAACAGCAACAACAATAAAAATAATAATGATATAATAATAATATTAACAATGATAATAACAATAGTAACAATATAATAATATAACAGAAAAAATACAAATTTAAAAAAATATAATAATAAAATAATAATATTAACATAATAAAAATAATAAAAATACAAGCACTAGTAGAAGTTGCAGTGGCAACAGTAGACCTAACTTAGTTGTGTATCCCTTTACAGGACGTTGCAGAACCAACCCCAGCAGTTTTGGCTGTTGTGGTTTTTCTAGGCAGAATTACGTCCAGTAGTTTGCAATTGCTTCTGGACGGTCGGCTTCTCGATACCGCTGTAGAAGCCAACACAAGGCATAAGGCAGAGGAAATTAGTGGTGATAGTAGTTGAAGTATTAGTGGTAGTAGTAATTGTAGTAGTAATGGTGGTAGATGTGGTAGTGATAGTGGTATATGTGGTAGTGGTGGCGGTGTTTTGGATGTTGCCAGGCGCAGCACCAACAAGAAAATACTGGGGACGGGGGCTTAAACACCATCCCCCTCCCACCCTCCCCATCTTTTTTATTGTGCCGAGGATGGGGTTGTAGGTGTCTTCAAGGATTCTTGAAAAAAAATTTTTTAACAACAAAACCAGTAATAATAACGACAACCTTTATTATTAATATTACAAGGGTCTCAGTGGAGAAGTGGCAAAACCATCTGTCTCATGCTCTGAAGGTCGCCAGTTTGTTTCATGGCTACATCATGCAGACTGTTGGTTCCTGGCATATTATGCAGATTCACTCTGACTTCTAAGGCAACACTACCTAATTAGTCGCCTTTCACATCGTCGAGGATGTCACGTGATATTTTCCTACTCGTCGCTTTGATATTGACAATTGTGTGCACCGTAGTACTAGTAACTGGTAGTTTTCTAACGTTACGCGGCGTATGCATTCAGTGAGCCTTCTTTTATCTATATTCGAGACGTAAACATAATAGCGTGTTGGTAATAATTTTTTAGTAAGTTAGTTGGTTAGTTAGTCGACAGATTATCCTCAGTGCATATCCAACCATTCAGCCCATAAGTGCTCGGATCCCCTCCTTAGTAAATCCCGCAGCGTGTAGCGGCTCACGACACCAGTCTTGTGTTGGTTTCTTATTCTTCTTTGACTTCCTGCATAGTGTTCTTGTTTGACCACACCCCTTTTAACATACTATTTTTCACTGTCTGGTCATGGTTGCAGAATTAGTCAGACTTTGTTCTCCCAAATGTCTTATATCTCGTAAAACATTCAGTATATCTACTTGGTAATGTAAACAATTGTAAAGAGTAATAATAAAATATTAAAATGATATATATTTATTTTATTAATGAAAAGTATCTTTCTCATTAATATTTACAACTTGAAGACATTCGTAGATTAACCATTTCGACACTTACATTTCCACTTAGACTAAACGATCTCAGTTCAAAGTAAAACATACCAAATTCCACGGCTGTGAGTGAATAGAAGAATCAACAATTATATTCCTTGTTGGAAAAAAAAAACACATTTTGCTCATAATCTACTAACATGCAGAGATATCGCATCCCATTTGTAAACAACAACACAATGTGTCAACCACCCTCTTAACGGCGAACAAATAAGAAAATACTCTACGAAATACGAATACTACGAACTATAAAAAAACCATCGACCAGAATTTAACGAAACAAACTTTAAGTATTTTTCAAACAACGGGAAATTGCTTTTCAAAACAATGGCAGACGGTTGCCTGGAGTGTCATCGCTGTGTTGGTTACAGACTATCACTTTTGCATGGCTGGAGATGTTATTTTAAGGCTGGACAATGTCTTCTCCTGTCTTCACTTGTGCTCTTCATGATTTTCGACCAGGCAGAGTCCCGCAGAGGTAAGGATTTTTTTTGTTTCCATAGTTATGTTGTCATGGCTGCAAATTGAAATATTTTGGTTACTTGAAACGTCACGAAAGTTTAGAGAGAACAATAATGGAGGGGTATAAGTCTGGAAAGAGAGGAAGAGGAAGGTCAAAGAGAAAATGGGTGCAGGATGTGGCGGATGATCTCCAAATGGGTGTATCGGGCACGGGACATCTTGCTGGTGATCGAAAAAAAAAGCTTCAGCTCTCGACCCCCTCTCTCCTAGAAAGTTTGCAACAGAATTAAATGGTTCCCGCTAAAAAAGAACCGTATAGATTTTTTTCTTTAAACAAAGTATATGCTTATTAATTTAATCTTTTTTTTTTTAAATGTTATCACATTTCTTGCTATTCAGCACACAACAATAATATTAGTAATAATAAAAATAGTAATAGTAGTGTTGAAACTACTGCTACTTATCAATAATACTACTGCTGCTGCTATAACTACAGTTTTATAACTACTACTTCATGTGTACTACTACTACTATTTCTGCTAATGCAGCAGCTGCTCCTGCTGCTACTACTACTATTACTATTACCGCTGCTGCTGCTGCTACTGCTGCTATAACTACAGTTTTATGACTACTGCTACTTCCATTACTACTTCGGGTGTACTACTAATACTACTGCTGCTGCTGCTGCTGCTGCTGCTACTACTACTACTACTACTACTACTACTACTACTACTACTACTACGACTACTACTACTACTACTACTACTACTACTACTACTACTACTACTACTACTACTACTACTACGACTACTACTATTACTACTACTACTACTACTACTACTACTACTACTACTACTACTACTACGACTACTACTATTACTACTACCACCACCACTACTACTACTACTACTACTACTACTACTACTACTACTACTACTACTACTACTACTACTACTACTACTACTACTACTACGACTACTACTACTATTACTACTACTACTACTACTACTACTACTACTACTACTATTACTACTACTACTACTACTACTACTACTACTACTACTACTACTACTACTACTACTTCTACTACTACTACTACTACTACTACTACTACTACTACTACTACTACTACTTCTACTACTACTACTACTACTACTACTACTACTACTACTACTACTTCTACTACTACTACTACCAGTACTACTACTACTACTACTACTACTACTACTACTACTACTACTACTACTACTACTACTACTACTACTACTACTACTACTACTACTACTACTACTACTACTACTACTAATACTACTACTACTACTACTACTACTACTACTACTACTACTACTACTACTACTACTACTACTACTACTACTACTACTACTACTACTACTACTACTACTACTACTACTACTACTACTACCACTACTACTACTACTACTACTACTACTACTACTTGCGACTAACTACCTTGACAAAGATGTCACAAAATAAGGAAACATGTTTGGGAATCTTCTGGTAAGTGTATGCGACGATGTTTGTGAAACGTTTTTCCTAGATCTTATTATTTCTTTTCCTGCTTTTTGTGATCAACTGAGTTTAGTTTAGAACCGATATCACAGCACCCGGGTGATTTACTTAAGCGCTCCATCCCCATATTTAGCAACCAGCAAAAGATCCAAAACCACTAGCAGTCTGATGATGTAGGTTTTGAAAAACGTCTTTGTAAGAATCAAGTTTGTTAAAAAATCTACAGACACGCCAAGTCTAACGGCTTTTAGGAAAACAAAGCGATTTAACAGTAGTCAATTATTTTCTCAGGAAATTGCCGATAATCTGGTTCGTCTCTTGGTGTGCGATGAAAAACCCAGACAGTTTAAACATCAGAACAGCTGCAGGCACAGACAGCACTGATTCGACTAGGACCACCAACGACTGGTCGCTTATAGAGATGCAACTGTCGTTGCTGCTTCTGTTTCCTCATTTTTTTCCTAATAAATCTGCGACCCCATTCCCTCTCTTTGAAAAAAGAAATGCATTAGCACAAGCAGTACATTCAATGTTGATAATGCCGACTTAACTACGCAACAAGGACGTTGCAGAACCAACCCCAGCAGCCCCAGGCTGATGTGTGGTTTTTGTAGGCAAATTTACCTCCAGTAGTTTGCCATTGCTTTCTAGACGGTCGACTTTCTTGATACCACTGTCGAAACCAACGCAAGGCGCATTGCCCGCAGCTGGGATCGAACCCGGCATCCCGGCATTACGAAGCGAAGCGTTCGCATCGACTTAGCCACAGAGCCGACTAACTATGCGAGACAAAGTTAGAAATAATATTATCAGACAGACTGTAGGAACAACTACATGCAGCAAATTCATGGAGAAACAGAAGATAGAATGGTTTGGTCATCTAGTAAGAATGCGGTTAGAACAACTACCACTAGAGGCGCTTCACATGAAAAGATGTGAAATGAAAGCAAGAGGTTGCCCTGGGAGATTATGGACTGATGACATTAAAGAGCTTCTACATCCACAAGGAATGACAATAGCCATTGCTGCCTATGAAGCATTGGATCGCAAACTGTTCCTCCCCACAACGCTTAACAGCAGAAGTGGAAATTGATGATGATGATGATGATGACAAGTATTAGAAAAGGTCAGACGTGGTCCTTTACATCATCATCATGTAGCAGATACTTTACAGAACGTCGCTCGGTACTTAAATTATAACTTACCCTTGACGTCACGACAACGTCACGGGAGACATTCCCAATAAATTCTAGGGTGTTCAGGTTGTAGTTTCTCGTGATTTATCTACAGCAAAGTTTAGGGTTAGAGTTAGGGTTAGGGTTAGGGTTAGCATTAGAAGACACTAGATTAACACTCAAAAAAAAAAAAAAAAAAAGCACCACACAACAGCACACTTCCACCCCTTGAAATAATGGACTGTCAGGTCAGTTGTGGATTTCCCACGGGGATTTCGTGTTTGGGGTACGTTATAAATTAAGAACCCGTCGCTCTCATCACGGTCTGCCTAAAAAAACTTGGTCTCTCGTGTACTTTCATACTCAAGGAGTCACTTAAATCCTGTGCCCATCTTCGAGGTGGTCGGCCCCTGCCCCTCCTTCCTGGTACCATGCCTTCTGCTGTAATTTTTTTTCAATCCGTCGTGGCGCTTGATATGACCAAACTAATTAAGCTTCTGAGACTGTTTACTAGCCAATCAGAGGAAAGGCAACACGGACATATAACCAGATTGTGACCGGTACCATCAGTATTGGAATTCTGCGCTGGCTGCTGAAGATAAGTACGGAGCACGCATGGGAATGCCTGAGTGCTGTGATGTCAATTATGTGGATGCCTTATGTGTTAACAGCAGCATCAATAGACTCTAGATATATTTACTTGTCTGTTCAGCTGCAAAATGTAAACTTTTGGGAGAAGGAGCGCCGGTTAATAATATTTTTTAATTGAAAAAGCACATTAGGTCAAATTAGTTTGGAGATCTTTGGTCTTATGGATTTTAAAGAATATCATCATCATTATCATAATTATCATCATCATTATCATTATCATCATTATCATCATCATCATCATTATCATCATCATCGTTATCATCATCATCATCATTATTATCATCATCAGCATTATCATCATTATCATTATCATCATCATCATTACCATCATCATCATCATTATAATCATCATCATCATTACCACCACCACCACCATCATCATCATCATCAGCATTATTATTATTATTATTACCACCATCATCATCATTATCATCATCATTATCATCATCATCATCATCATCATTATCATCATAATCATTATCATTATCAATAACCACTTATATTGTCAAGAGACGTAGGGAGGAATAATTTACAGTCCAGTGCACGCGGGTTAGCCCTGGCTATTGTGATGACGTGAAGATGTAGAGTGCCTTTAATGTTGTCGATTCATGACTATCATAGCCGTCCTCTTGCTCTAGTAGTTGATCTTTTGAGATGTGGTGCTTGTGATGGTGTCTGTTGTTGCTGCATTCTAACGAGATGGCCAAACCATTTGATCCGCTGTTTTTTTTATCAGTGGCCCTTAATCTTTTTAATTCCGCGACCCTGTAACACAGTCCCCTCTTGTTGTGGAGGCCCATAAACAATTATTTACCTTTATAACTTCAATGAATATGTGTTTTTTGTTGGTCTTAGGCGACCCATGTGAAAGGGTCGTTCGACCCACCAAAAAAAAGGTCTCAACCCGTAGGTTGAGAACCGCTGGTGTAGAGTTTCTTTAATGTTGTCGATCCATGCTTATCATTGCCGTCCTCTTGCTGTAGTAGCTGATCTTTTTGAGACGTGGTGTCTGTGATGGTATTCGATGTTGCTGCTTTCTAACGAGATGGCCAAACTTTTTGTTCCGCTGTTTATATATGAATCTAGTACAGGTTGTCGTTCCCACAATATATTTAATATTATCATTATTTAGTCGATTTCAGGTGGTTAATTGGCGGGTTTTATTATGCCTTTTATCTCGCAAGTCGACTAAATAATGATAATATTAAATATATTGTGGGAACGACAACCTGTCGCTAATTTTTGCGTACATGGTTAGTTGCGTATCCTATACAGGACGTTGCAGAACCAACCCCAACAGCCCCTGGCTGTTGTGTGGTTTTTCTAGGCGAATTTATGTCCAGTAGTTTGCTATTGCTTTCTGAGCGGTCGGCTTTATTGATACCACTGTCGAAACCAACGCAAGGCGCATGGCCTGCAGCTGGGATCGAACCCGGCATCCCGGTATTACGAAGCTTGCGTACATGAGCTTTAGATAATATCCATGTTTTGCACTGTTGCCTCAGTATTGTCAGTCTCTACACCACTTGGTGGTGAATTGATGTATGACTAGTTAGATATTGTGAGGTCCCTTCGGGAGCGAGTGAACAGTGCCGAGGCGCAGAGAGATCATTACGGTCTGAGTAGAATGGCGCTGCGAGGAGTTACCAGGGGATCTGGC